TTGTCACAAGTCACCTATATATTGACGTCATTTTCACTTTGTGACGTCACAAACACGGATCAAAACATTATTTAACATCTGTTATTTATAGAACATGTGTATGGCTATATGTGTGCCAAATTTCATTCCGATCTGAATTGTGGTTTTGTAAATATTGAGATAGTTCGCGAACTTTTTGATCACCCCTCGTTTTTAACTCGCTAGTCCATGTACTATGACGTCAAGAATTGGTCATTATCCTCAATTCCTGAAAAGTTCTTCAAATATGGCCAAACATTAAACAAACCTCTGATCCAAAATTTCCAATTATATAATAAAAGAACTGTTTCAGAAGATTATAATCCATGTTTTATTTTTTGGATTGAGGGGTGGGCTCATATTTTAATTCTTTGCTGAATGTACATTTTCTTCAAAATTCAAGAACATTGTAATCCACAAAACCTTTTTTTCAATACTTGGACTTTCAGAAGAGATTTTTTATAGGAAATAAAAGCACTAAGTCTCTACTTTATATTGATGTTTGAAATGGGAGATTGGGACTTCTTCAATTAATTGGTGTATGTGCAGAGTTATTTTATGGATAAAGTAGACTTAGCTTTTTTCTAGTATTGATACAGAACTCTTTTCTCATTATTATAAATAGTTTGTCTACTCGATTTCTAATAGAAATCTGTAAGTGAAGTTATTTTAAAACATGTTATAATTTATTTTACTAAATAATCATAAATTCACCCTAAGGCCCTTGATTCGCGGATGGTATATTTCATATTTTATTTTGCGCTTATTCTTCATCATAATTATGCAGTTACCAGCTAGGTGTCAAGGGGTTATGAATAATTTCTAATTCTCTAATTGGAATTCCGATAAGGAGGAGTTCCACGAATTTCATAATGTTCATTACTTTTAACCAACAAAATCTTTAAATTTGTTTCACACAAATACAACGGTTTCAGAGAAAAAAAAACAGAGAATGTTAAGAAGTTTACGCTCTTTGCACAAGCGCACCACAAATTTGTCATCTGAATGACATGAATGAAAATGAAAACTATGTCGCATAAAACATTGTCCATGCATAAACTATTTCGGAATCTTTACATATTAAATATTTAACATTCATTTGACAAGGTTTTTATCATAAAGTTTAAGTTAATGGAATAAATGCAACAACAACAACCTGTTCAATAGATTTATGAATATGGAAATTAGGATTTTCTTAGAAAAGGAACAGCAAGAAAAATATGTTTAAGGATGGATGGATGAGGATAATTTGTCAAAATCGATATAAAGAGTTTTAGGTATTTTTAATTTAATTTTTTTTTAATATAAAACGTGACAGCAAGAATGCTTTAAAATTTAGCATCTCTGAAAGTCAAGAAACATAATGGTTAATGTGCCACAAAGTTTGAATGACTCTTGTCAAATTTGATATCTTTTTTTCCCAAATGTTAGAGGAGTTAACATTTTTAACAGGGAAACAGGAAAATTAGCACATGGACTTTACTCCGTCCGCTTTCTCGCCCACTCTTTTTCTATATTAGTTCTTGAAAGGTCAAATTGTATGTATAAAGAACAATATTTGGTTTTCTTTGGACTTTCTTCCTTATACATGTAATTGTCCTTAAACATGCTTAGCTAAAAAATATCGAGCTAGAAATCCACAAATATTGAAATAGGCAGTCTGTAAATTTCCAGTGATTTTATTTATTTACAAAATTGTTTCTATTTTTTTATTTTTTTTTTTAAAAAAGTGGCACTGAATCTGAGATATAAATATACATAAATATATATATACAAAATTGTTTCTATTTTTTAAATTTAAAAAAAAAAGAGACACTGAATCTGATCACAAAATGGCTAAACATATGGGGGTTTTTTTCTTTAAAAAAAAACATAAATTACTTCAGGTTAAACACTGTGTATGAATATAACTTTCTTGAACTCTCAGTGCAAAATAAATATTTCCTAGAATGACAAAAAAAATTCAAGGCAGTGAAAATGAATTAATTAATTCAACGAAGTGAAAATAAATTAAGCTCATTAAAACACACCACACAGCTTGTCGTTGACAAACATTAGTGCAATAAAGAGGAAATAATGATTTTCGAAGGACAAACGTATGGAGGTAAAGTTTTTTGGGATACAGACATTTCTGATAGAGAGGCTTGAATCGAAAACGCCCCCTCCTTCCCCCGGTTGGGATCAAGATTAAACTCCTAAATCCCTTTGGTTCTTCATAAATTTGTTGGGTTTTCGCTTTTTAAAAAAATCTGGCATGGGATCATTTGACATATATTCTATATTTTCTGTTCGTTTTTAATCGCATGAATGGCGGTTCAGATATCAAAGGCCCCGAAAATTTTTAAATTAAAAATATTGTAATATATTATATATATATATATATATATATATATATATATATATATATATATATATATATATATATATATATATATATATATATATATATACTGTAAATACTTTGATTAAACTTGGGGCGGATGGGACAGGAGAGGGGTATGCCATACAGTCCCTCTATATATGCACCAATGTCAAGAACTCATACAATTAAGTAGTTTATGCTATTCCCCGCTCACACTTACGTGAGTCTTATGACAGCCTTTGTGTGTATATTTCGTATATTGTATGTGAATTGTATGTGCATTGAATCTTGTAGACAGTGCATTTATATTAATGCAATTCGTTTTCTTTCAATCCGTATTTTACTTTTACATACAAGTGTATACAATCAGTGAAAGCACCCTATTGATACAGTATGATTATATTATATGGGAGGTGTAATCGATCGACAGAGGATGCTTACCCCTCGATGGCACCTGATTTTACCTCTGTTTTCAGAGATTTTTGTTAACTCTGCTCACAATATGTATTGTTTAGATGGAATTTTGAGAATGATCACTGTTTATTACGTATATTTCATTTATGAATAATAAAACACTATGATTATATATTAAACTTAATTGTCTATACCTTGTTGTTGTTTTGTTTGCGGTATGGTCTCTTTGACCCTTAGACCCTTAGTGATGTAAACCACAAACAACATTCCCTTAGAAATGTTTACCTTCCCAAACTAACTATTTAATTATTCATTTTCGTTTTTACGTAAAACCCTGATGCTCAAAGCAGATTCTCCCCTTTTTTCACTCTATTATAATTAATCAAAAATTAGAGTGCATTATTTGTTAGAAATTAAATGTAAACATCGTTATTCAGTTACATAATCTCAAATACGCTATATATGGTGTGAAAAACATATAGTATGAATTCTGAGTAGTCTAGAATGTATTTGTAGGAATGAAATACCTGATTTATCGTACATGTACATAAAAAATACATATATGATATTTTTTACAAAAATGTTAAAATATATTACATGTGTATTAAGATGATTGGCACTGGTAAAAACAATCTAAACCAAAACAAAAACACCAACAATAAAGAAAAAATATGGTGATATATTTCTATCCTCTACATGCAAGATGAATTTTTTTTTTTTTTTTTTTTTTTTTTTTTTTGGTAAGTTTAAACTTCTTAAAGTTTTAGTTTTTATGTTTTCCAAAAACATTCATTTTAAACAATCATTCATTAACATTAACAAAAGAGCATGAGCCACTTAGGGCCTTTTTTGGCCCTGAGAATTTCTGAAAAATAGAAACTGCTCAGTTTTGATTGAAAATGCAGTATTTATAGCTTGGACCCTTGGTGACCGTGTATCCATTAAACATTACGTAATTTTCTCTCTAGTCAATGACGTCATAAAATGCGTCATTTTTCCCATATCCTGTAAATTCCCTTAAAAATGGCCAAATGTTGAGGTATTTTTTCAATATTTCATAAAGAGCACAACCTCTGATCCAAAATATGCAATTACATAATGAAAGATCTGTTTCTGAAGATCACAAAACATGTTTTAATTTTTGGATCGTGGGCTGTGCTCATATTTTAAGTCTTTGCTGAATGTAGTCAAATACGCATTTTTTCTGCAAAATTCAAGAACATTGCATTTTCTCAAAGCCTGTTTTCCAATACCTGGATTCTCAAAAAGAAATTTTGATACAGGAAATGAAAGCACTAAGTCTCTTTATTTTGATATATATGAAATGTGACAGAGGGTGATAATCAATTAATTGATATAAGGACAGGGCCATTTTATGCTTAAATTGAACCTAGTTCTTTCGAACCTTTATAGGACATAATTCATTATGATGTACTTAATGTCCTTCAAATAAACGTGACTACGACAATAGATTATTTATCATTCTAGTAAAAAAAAAAATACAGCCCTTGTTTTATGCTCTATAGAACAGTCCAAGCTTTCTCGATAAAAGTATAAACGTCCTGAACAGTCGTTTTAAATTTGAAATAAGCTGCAATGTTTTATGTGTGAAAAATGATAACAATTAGAAAACCAAATATAGTTATTCAATTTTTTAAATGGAAAACTATGTTCTATTTTAAACATATAATTTAAAATATTCTATGATGATTATACTGGTTGGTATACACACGTCAACCTAGCATTCTGTAGTAATAGCAAAACACAATAAATTCAATATAGTTTTCATACCAATTGTTTTTTTTTATTCTAAATCAAAACATAGTTAGGGCTCAGGGCCTCTTAGAAACTTGATCTCACCTCTGAAATTTCCGGGGGTCCGTGTTTTATGCCCTGTTCGCAGATCTGTATTGTTTATAGATTTCTTCTTTTTTTTTGACATCGATCAATGTACATTATCTTCACCTTTTTCAGATTACTTTTCGTAGTGAACAATTTAGATTGCATTATTATCCCCCTGGAAAAAGGAATACTTAGTTTCCCCAGCCGTATCCCTGTTTAAATACCTTCATTCCGTGAGGGAAAAAAAAATCAGGTATTAATGCATTCAAAACAAAAAAGGGCCCTTCATATTATGTAAATCGAAGGATCAAAGCTATGCATTAGGGAAATAATCTTTAATTTTGAAATCAATTTCAAAATTATGTCATAAATTTGAAGCACAGAATCGTGTTTGATCTTTCCTCTTTCTATTACTTTGAAAGTACCACAGGATAAATTTCCTCTTCTTTACAACTAATATTCCAATAATTTCCCGGTAAGACATACATCGGCCACCAGTCAAAATACAGGAATCTTTTCTGATTTTCCTTTTGTACACACACTTACAAGATTCACCTCCCTCAATTGACTTGAATTGTTTCTTCATTTTCGATTCCAGTCGAGATATCGGTCTATGTAAGTAGGTACCTGTATTTCAAAGGAACCTTAAGATGTTTGAAATTAATACAGCTTATAAAGTGAAAATGTTAATAAAAAAATTTACATCTCTAAGCTTATGTTTAACACTTAAGCATCGATTAATATTTTTGTTTTGAAATCTAGTGCGTCTTGACTGTCCTGATAAATTAAATGGAAAAAAAATTAAATATATAACAAAGATTATATAAATAAAGGTACAGTATTTCCATCAAATAATATGTTTCATATCAAGTTATTAAAATAATTAATTTTATTCATACTTTTTCTACAAGCATCAATTTTATCCTGTTCTTATTAAAAATAACAGTACCTTGTGAAATTTTGCAATATTTCTTTAATGTCATCTTTCTTCGTCCACAACTCCGTGGACATCGACGACGAAACTTTGTCCGACGAAAATTTGCTTTCCAGCATCTAAACAATGGAGATCAGTACTAGAAAGTCGAGTTGAATCTTTTCAATTATTTCAAAACAATTTTATCTGCATGTAAAACCAGCCTTTTATGCTCTTTTTAATAGAGTTAGGAAAATTAATCACTAGTTTAAACAGAGAACTTTTTGATGTTATGATACACAAATTTAATTGGTGTGATTTTATCATCCTCCTATTAGCACGTGATATGTGTTATTTAACATGATATAATTCTCTCGTAAGTTTAGAACAAAACAGATTTTATATTATAATATGTTTAACACGTATATTTTAAAATGAGTTTCTAACCTATTGCCGACCTTCTTGACACCATAACAACATACATGTGTTCTTGAATTATATATAGATGCACTTGGCATACAGCATTTCATTCCCCTTCGAAGCGCTTTCTTAAAAACTCTTGAGTTACAACAGAGGTCTTTCCTAGGATTATATTCCCTTCGTCCACATATTGGTCGATTGCTTTTTCTGCTAACAGTGTTTTTCTTCCAACTGCAAACGAAGTTCGCAGAATCATATGAAATTTGCCCATGTACGGTTGTACAGCATTTGTCATGATGCGTTTCATTTTTCTGCATTATCTCTTCATTACTAAAAAGAGTTTTCCCACAGCACACTTGTGTTTTAGGATCTAACGCCTGGCCTGCACAGCAAGTATCTTCAATTTTGGTAACATTACCTTCAAATGCAAAAGTCAGCAGTCATTCGAAAATAAACTATTAATTTTCAAGTACATATATGTATATATTTGTTTGTTTGTTTTTGCCTGAAAACTCCTATATTTTAACTTGAAAAGATCATCACAGAATCTTGAATAAAAATTATTCAGTTACAGCTGAACGTTAGTTTAGCATTTTTTTTTAAAATGAAATTTTGCAACAACAATTTGAAGATTTGAAGTGAAGATTTATTGAAATGAAAATGATGAAGATAACAATCAGTGACCGATTTAATAAATTTTGTCATCAATACGAATCGTGAACAGGGCAAAAATACGGTCCCCTGGAAACATAAGACGTAGGATCAGGTGCCTACCCGTCCTGAGTCTTCCGTATTAATCAGTTAAAAAGAGTAAACCTCAGTTGAAAAGAATATAAAAATAATGGCTTTACAATTGGTATGGGACATGTCAGTCAAAATACGATCCAACGATAGGTTGTATTTGCAAATAAGGTTATTATAACGACCACATAATCTGCGAAATGCTGAGTTTCATGAACGAGATTGTAGAAAGACCTCTAATATCAATATATTAGTCTACCTATACCTATATATCTTTAAAACAGTAGTCTACCTCGGTTAAAAAAATGTTCATGTATTTAGAATACAGGGTGTTTCTGAAAACATGCAACCATTTTGATTGATTATATTTTACTGGTGCTTCAACCAATACCATGCACCAACATATCAAATTAAAAGTTACAATTTCAAGATTTGTTCTTATGAAAATAATGTTAATCTGGCAAATAGATAATTAATTACAGAAAGAAAAAGAAACTTGTACAATTTTACTTAGTTACAAAAAAAGTTCTAAATGGCGTCACTTTTGCTGAATGAATAAATCTATCTGATGCAAGAAAGTTATCATTACCAGTACAAAGAGTCTCTTGGTTATTTTCATGGTTTCATTTTTCGAACCATTTTGAGTTTATTTATTGTTTTGGGGTCTGTTTTAAAAACTTTGACCTTTAAATATTCCCAAAGATAAAAGTCAAAGGGGTTTAAGTCAGGTGAGTGTGGAGGCCCAATTTAATGGATTTGAAAGAGTTGAACGGTCCTCAGAGCATTTGTTCTAACCAGTCCAAGGTTTAAGATTGAAAACATATTTCCGCATCCGATATACACTTGATTTTTCTCAAATTTGAGTCGCATTTGTTCACAAGCTCGGTTATTTTACTAAAGGATTTGATGTGAGTCTCTGGAACAATGCCTCCTTAGTAACATTCTAAATTTTTTCATGTGTTCTCATTGTCTTTTTCTTTAATTTTTTTCCTTTTCTTTGATCATGTATTAACTCTTCCATTAGCTTCAAAATTTTACAGATTTATACAACTTTCCTTTATATTACTAAGTAAGTTCTTTGCATTCTGTAAACCTTATTTTCATTGTCCTAATCTCAGGAGCTGGTGACATCCATTGATAAAGCATTTTAGGAACTTCTGATGATTGTTTCTTATTAATTTCCTCATTAAGATTGAAAATACCTGTTTTTTAGTGATGTCAAATATGACATCATTATTAATTCAAATTATACTTATTTCATAAATTTTTGTTATTAGAAAAAACTTGAGCCTTTTTAGCATAATTGTACATAAAACTTTTATATGTTTCTGTTTGCGTATCAATAAAGTGAGGAAAGTAAATGTTTGCATGTTTTCTGAAACACCCTGTATGTTCTTGCTTGTTTAAATATGTACAATATGAAGTCATTTTTGAAGGATAAATTGTCTTATTTTCTACACCTATTGATGGAAAATTAAATCATAAGGAATGAATTTAATAGCTACCCAAGTTATACTGGTATAACCTTGGTTGGAACAGTTTACGCCTTTTTATAAATCGCTTCGCGGTTTATAAAGCGTAAACTGCCCAACCCGGATTATACCAGTATAACTTGGGTAGCAATTAAATTCATTCCTTAATTGAAAAGCTGAATTCACCACGCTTGTCATAGTTAAGTTGTTTAGTGAGGAATGGTTGTAAAATGTGTTCGAAAGTTTTTGATGATAAAGATTTTGGAAACAGAGTAACATGCCTAAAATATTGATGACTTTTTTTTTTATAATGTATAGTGTCATTAAGGTAATCATTTATTCTTACCACCACAACATTGTTCGTTTCTTTTGTTATAACCTTTTCCTGCGCAACAGTTTTCCACTTCATAGTTAATCATTTCGCCACCACAGCAGCGCCACCATGACCCACTTCTCCTCCTTAAATCTCCTTCACAACAATCATGCGTTAAAGGGTTATATTCTCCGTCTACAAAGGCATAAAGAAAGTATATCTCAATATTCCTTTATCAGTAGAATAGTGTTTCAAAATGTATGGTGTTTATCACGTTTAAATTAATTGTCTCTTAAGACTTTTTTTTTTTTATCAAAAGCACATTTTTTATTTATTATGAAACTATTTTTTGGTTGATTGCGTCCTTTCTTGTTTTTGTTTCGATTGATTGTTTGATACTTAATTTTTTATTATTACCCTTATTAGCTCTTTATAATAACTGTATAAGATTGACTACATGTCCTTCAAATAATATATAGCACATATCTCATGCAATCGTTATGGTAAACATAAATAAATGATCAACACGATCTCATATGCCATAAGCAAAGACGTACTCAAGCTTGAATTCATTCCCAGTCAAATGGTTCGAGTTGTAGCTTGACACCTTTACTGACTAATTATCAATTGACCTTGATCTTTGAGATATCACCTTGAATTAATATTACACAACCACATTTTTAATTTTAAATATATTCATATCAAAGTGACGGACAATCTGTAACGGGCATAATTTTGTGCCGAAGACAAAATCACATCAAGACCAATATATTTCCTACTGTTAAGCAAGCCGTACTTAAATGGTATATAACTGTTCCATTTTCTCTATATCCAATGAGAAATTCACGAAAAGAAGTTCCATGGTTCTATGTTTTTGAAAATGGTATACATAATTTGTTTTATCTGTTTTACTTGTCTACTGTCTATGTACTATGTAGAAAACTAGTTCTCCAAAGAAATAATATGCATTTTCTTCTTTACACATCAGTCGCCCGCGTGGCGCAGAGGTTAAAGCGTTTGCTCTAGAGTCCCTGAGTAAGGAATTGATCCTTACATCGCGGTTACGAATCCCACTGCGGGACGTGGAGACCTTCCATCAGATGACACCGTATAAACCGAGGTCCCGTGTCGCAGTAGGTACTGGCAAGAAAAAGATCCCTCACTGATGAAAGACCCTAAGTGCCGAGTACAGATCTAAATGTTGCAGCCTTCCACCGCAAGTGGTGGCATCTCAATATTTGAGAAAAATTCTCAAAGGGACGTTCAACAAACAAACAAATTATTGCACATCGAATAAAATAGGCATCTTTGCAAGTATTCAGGCAGAGAAAACATCGTTAATGGTTTCGTGGATTCTGGCGATTTGTTTTACAACCCAGATGATGATTATATACAAATAACGATAATTTTAAAAGTTTACGTTTCTTACATTTATTGCATAGAAGATATCCTTTGGTGACAATTTTATTCTCCACGCAGTCATTTAAACTGTAATTAAATGTTGCAGAACCGCAACATCGAAGACCTCTCGGGTTCTCTGTTATCAATACCTTGTTGCAACACATCTGTTTTCTAGTGTCGTATTTCGTATCTCCACATTTACTTTCATATGCATTCATGACTTCAGTGTCATGAAAACATTGCTGAAGGAAAGCATCAAATGTTTCGTTCCCGCAACAAAGCCTTGCGAAATTGAGTTTGTGAACTTTGTACCCACAGCACATCTCGTCTTTAAAGCTGTAAATTGTTGATCCACAGCAAGCGTTACGATCTGGAATTCAACGGAATGTTTTAATGTAAATGACCAAAGCATAAGATGATTTGACTTGGACCTACATGAACATGTAACTATCCTATATCATTTACCTGGCCTGTATTGTGGATAATGAATCCCACTGCAACACAGAGTTTTCCTACTGTTGTAAATTGTGCTACTGCAGCAACCTTGAATTGAACCATTAGCAATTCTAGGATGAAGAGCACCACCGCAACATATATGAGTATCTGGATTAAAGAGCTGTTCATTCCTACCTGTAAACAATTTGCCATATCATGCATTTTTATTATCATAAGTATTAATGGAAAAATTAAAAGAACTTTTACATCTTCTTTAAATCCATTTGCAATATCAACTTATGAAAATCAAACAGCATATTATTCTTCATATTCTTTTTAAATTTACATAAAACAGACATACCTATGCAACATTCGACATGACTGCTTGTTTTGAATGTTCTTTCATAATTTTTTCCATTGCAAAGAGAACTGTCTAGTTTGATCGTTACAGAAGGTACTTTATCAAGATAACTAATGGAGGGTGCATCTGGAAAAGTTAAGACTTTGATTTTAGTGACAATGAATGCTATAAAAATTACGAATAATATCATGCATCATTTGTGGACGTTCGCAACAATTATAATATATGTTGTGAAGGTGTTTTTCTTTAGTAAAATGATACGGTACACATTATGCAATATTTTTTGAGGATTTGATATCAGTAAAATATAAGATTCAGGTGCGTTAATTTTTTCCAAAACTATTACCATTGTTCTAGATGTGATGTCCACGAGCTTGCTGGTTAGCCATTATTTAATGCATGTTTAGCATTGGAGGAACTTTTCTATTCATATTTGACATTGTTTCATGAATAGATAAGTGCTACCTAAAGATCACCATTTTTGCATAAAACCTGTTATTTAATCCCTTTATTACCTTAATATACTTTTATCGGGGTGCTAAATTTGGCTAATTAAAGCGGTATGGTAATAACTTACTAAAATTTCAATCGATAAATTTGTACTCTTATGTAACCACCTTTTTTAAGCAAAGAAAAATTTTGCCAAGAAATTTTCTTCAGAAAAGTAATTTGAATACGATAACTTTGATCAACTTGTTATCAAATATTATATCTTTCTGAACTTTTTTTGTAAATCGGTCTTCAAACGTACAAATGTACCAAAATATATCTACATAAAGTATCTGAAACACTCTTTTGTTAAGCGTTATCACCAAAAAAATTTCTGCTAAAATACCTTTGAGCAAGGAAAATGCCAAATTTAACATCCACTGAAAAAAACCCCGCTAAACGGTATTTCTGATAAAGTTGAGGTTTTGATTCTAAAACGAGGTAGGCTATTGACAAATAAGTTGATTAGGATGTCAAAAAAGCATATAATCACCGTATCTTTTCCAAAAAGATAAATGAATTTGAATGCTTTATCCCTCTATCGACAAATACTCATAGTTACTAGGCATATCAAATTAACCAAGCGGCACCTTTTTCTAATGAATCAGCATTAACGGTCTTAAATAATAAATGCGAAGATAGTTATTCCAATTCTTGTGCAATTGATGCATTTTGTTTGATGTTTACGTATCATTTTGTTGAGGTTTGTTACATAAAATACCGGGAACCGTTACAGATGTTCCCCAAACGGCTTCCACTCTCCCTTTTCATGCCTCATTCCCTACAAATCAGGCAATACTTTTGTAATTTTTCAAACTTATTTTATCGGAAAACTACTCCAATATGGTCCTACGGGTAATATTAAATCAAATTTCATCGCATGTGCTTGTACATGTTTTCTAGATTTTTCACATGTTTTCTCATAGTGTCTCATTGTGTTAAATATCAAAGAATTTCATTGAAAAATAAGAGAGATAAAACACTTTAAGTATTAGCAAAAAAGAATTCAGCACATGGGCATGCATGTCTTTGCATTCAGTTTTGATAGCAGCACAATGTAAGGACATATTATAGTTACCTATATTCTAGGGTTTTTTTTTTGAAAACTAAGAAAGTTATAGCCATTTAAAGTTTCAAAAAAAAATAAAATCAAATTGTAGCACACGTGCATGTGCATGTTCAAGAATTTCAATATATATCATATTGAAGGACCCCATAGTAGATGCCTATCTTTTAAATTTCAATGTATATTGTCAAAAAACAAGGAAGCTATTCTTGTTTCAGCCAATCATAGCAAAGCGCACGTGCATGTGCGTAAGCTCATGCTAATTTGACCATGTCATCTTGTTTAGACCACTAATATATCTTTGAATTTGAGTTCAAAGCATTTCATAAAAAAATTGTAAAAGTTACGTTATATCAAGTATATCAGTCATTTTCCTTATCGCACACGCACGTATGTGCATGGATGTGCGCGCAAAATGGCATTCGTTCACACATCTACACAACATGCCTATTAACCCTAAAAAGGTTTCATCTCAATTGGATGAGAAGAAAGAAGAAAAGGAGAAAAGAGAAAAAACAATATTTAACTCCGTTGTGAGGAACATAATAAGGAAAGCGCACAAAATATACACTGATGCGATCAAATTATACCTATAGTAAAAATTTGTCAAAAAAAAAAAAATATCCAAGGCATTCTCACCCATACCAGATAAATGTTATTTGCTGTTTAATATGTCTACAAAATACGTAGGTATCGTTAAAAATAAGTCATGCTAAGTGCTTACAACGTTTACGGTGGTAATATTGCTATTCTGAAATACATTACAACAAAACTTTGATGATCCCAAATTGTCCTTTTTGAGGTTATTTTTTTTTTTACAAATATTTTATGAGGTATGCTTGGTTAAAAGCACATTATTACTCTCTTTTTGCAGACCACGTACAAAGTTTCCGTTTGTTTCTGTTTTGCTTTCATTTACCAGGTAATCGGCAGGTGTGTTCGTCGTAGGAAGAATAATGTATAGATGTCGTATACGATATACGTCAGACCTCTTTAACTAACTATATGAAAACAGTCGACTAACAACAATGTATTTACATTGTAAGCTTAGAGATGAATTGATAACAATATACCAGCGCAAAGATATACGCTTCATTGTAAATATAAATTAACTGAAAATAAATTACGTTAATTTCTTATTATCTTATAAAAAAGAAAACATCTGATTATACCTAGAATATATTATGTATTTTATTAACAAACTCTTTAGTTTAATAGTTTTGGCCAATACCTTGCGTGCAATTTTGCCACAAATATTAGGGAACTGTCTGAAAATTCTTATTTCCTTTCAACTATCATTTTTACTGCACTTTTAGTGAGCATTTCTGATACCATAATAAAAATAGCTAATGTCATTTAAGTACACCTGTTAGTTTTTTCATGAATGAAAATTGGTTCCAGGTGTTCCATGTCGCTGTTATTTGTAATTGTATAGGGTAACTGAATAACGTTATGAGTGGTTCATTTAGTTCACTTCATAAACAAATACCGTAATATGGAAGACACTTTCTCAGATGAATGAAATTTGAGTAGAGTAAAACCGAGAGGGTGCTTAAAAGGATTTAAATGATGACATCTCATGATTTGTATTTAATATATACGCTGAATAATATTGTTTCAACTAAAATTTAAATGAAGTCAATAAAAAAGAAAGAATCTCTTGAAGAAAAAAGGAGAATCCTTATTACATTTTTCATCAGAAATATAGAAAGTAATATAGAACCTTTTTCATTTTCATGGAATAAATTATTAGGAAGATATGAAAAAAATGCTTAAAAAGAGTACTTTACATAGCAGAAATATATAAATAATCCGAACACTATGAAATCCCATTGTCAACTGAAGTGGAAAACCCCAGACATGAATATTTATATTAAATATTAATTGTAAAATACCTTAGTACTAGTAGTCTTTATACTATCTATGGATACCATTTTTTCTTTGCAAGCAAATGCACGCACTATCATGCTAATAGTAAATAAGAAGCTGACCACTCTTGGATTTATTTACATCTTTAAAGAAGCTACAAAGCAGGCGACACATGCGTTCCTGGGAACACTGGTTTTTTTCCCAATTTTTTTTTCAAAACACTACTGTTTCAAAATTAAAAAGGGGTCGGGAGAATTCAAATAAAGCCTCAAGTTTAAGCAGTTGTTTAGCAGATTTATCGGAAAGAATGATATCTCAAGCTATTTCAAAAGAAAATCAAATACATATCAATGGAGATGGCAAAAGCACCGAGGAGCCGAGGGGTAAATATAACTATAGATCCGAAAGGCAAAATAACGTCGGAAAAATTCAAATATTTAACATGCTATGAAAATAATGGTCTCTCATAGATAAATAACCGAATCCTCATTACCTGATAATCATATTACATTTGAATCTTCCATTCTTCACATACATTGGATGTTTTCTAAGCTGTTATTATATTTGAAAATCTTAAATCACTTGCCTTTAAGAAAAGTATAGTCATTATTACAAAATGAAACAAGATTCTGAATCATCGATTTTTTGCTCAACAAACAGGTAACTATAGAGGTTCCTACATTAAATTTGCCGATTTAATTGTTCTATTCATAGGTAAGATTAGGAAAGGGGTAGGGATATTCATTTAACCCAACGAACTGTTCAGTGTAGTGCATGACTTACCTTAAAAAATAAAATATTCTGACCGATCTTTCCATTTATTCCACTTATCATATCAGTACAACTACAAATTAGTACGTTATTTTGAATATGATTTCATTACGCACATGCTGTTCACGATTTTGAAAAGATGCACATCACAATAGTAGAAATGCAGAATACTTTGCGATTTTTTTTTTATATTATCTTCTCCTGATTTTGGTGCATATATTAATACCGATCTTTTGAGTTCTGTATAACAATACATAAATCTAATCTTGTAAACTAATAAACCAAAGCTCGAAAGGCGATATTACTCTGGTGAGATGTGTTATTACAACTATGTTCACAAGCTAAACATGGTTGTCGTTCTTTTCAGATAATGTCATTATATGTAAGACATGGAAGAATATTTTGCCTATTTTTGCTTGCTCTTTGAATATTCTGGAAATCATATTCGTGTTTGCTCTGCTCACAATTTGTATTCTTTCAATTGACATTTAAAGCTTGATCACTTTTCGTCATTTTAACCACCGAACATGTATCCCTTCTAGTGGACAGCCTGTCCTCAAGGATACTTGTCGTTAGAAACTGATTCATTTATGAGTACAAAGTTTAACGAAATAACCAGTAAACTGGGGGACGCGTCGCTGAGCATAAAAAGTACCTCTTTTGAATCTACAAGGGACACAGACTCAAGGAGTTTGGTTCCTTCGGATAATCCTTCAGGATATTAAACATGTGTCATACGTGCAGTCTTCAGCTGACCAGTTTGGGTATAAGACCAACAATTAATACAAATCAGTAAATGAAAATAAAGTTTCAATTAGAGATGTATTTGAATAATTTAATTTTGTTTGTATTCTAGCCTCTGATTGG